GGGGGGGGGGGGGGGGGGAGTGTGTTCATTCTTTTGCGGTATTGAATATGCAAAAAATCTCCCCTGTCTAATCCGAATCCCCCATTTTTTAACTTAATTTTTCACTTTCACATACGAAGTTGTTTTTGTAGACAAACAAAAACCACCTTAACCACCTTCAGTTCGGAATCTTGCCATTAAAAAATAATCCGAACTCGTATAGCTTGAAGAATTTAGTTGATGCGCCCCCTCTAATCCTCCGAGTGGCCACGACGACTGAGCCACTGAAAGTCTTATTCGCTAAGAGTTTAATCTAGAGTTACAGCGTTTTTTGAATTACAAATATAGAGAAAGCTTTTTTTATCTTCATTAATTAACACAGGTATCTGCCCACTTGCTCGTCCATGGGAGAGCCTTGTTATTGGGGCATTTGGTGGAAGCTGCGCATGCTTGGGACGCAAACTTATGTTGTGGCTTAAAATCGATGATCCAACAGGATGCATCGCGGTGCATACTCTATCTGGCATCTGGGGCATGATTGCAGTAGGCCTGTTCACRGAGGTTGATCGTCTCGAGAAGTTTTCCAAGATAAAGGGTGTTTTTAAGGGAGGTAATGGTTATTTACTTGGCATACAGTTATTAGCCGTGGTGTCCCTTGCTGTATGGAGTGCTATTACTTCAGGTATCATCTTACTGGGYATAAAAGTGATCATCGGACTCAGGGTGACAGAAGAAGAGGAAAAGCTTGGTGCTGATCGAGTGGAGCACGAGATGGATTATAACAAAACTGAAAACAGCAAACAAGCGAGTGCACTTCGAGGTCTAAACATGTTCCTGAGAAAAATTGAACCAGAAAAAAGCCCCAAGGTCACCTCAATGGATCCCACACCACGTGGGCGGCGAAATCGAGCGTTTGCAATTAGAATAAACGAGGARAAAAATGAAGAATCGGTAGTTGAAAGTATCGGAAGGGAAAGAGAGCTTACTTCGTCTGTTTCGAACATGAATTGGTCAGTGTCTGAACGCGTGGGTGAAACAAAACTGGAAAATGGTTGCTGATTGAGAGACGACAATTACGTACTCATAAAAGACAGAGGGTTTTTTTTATCTTGGAAGTAAACTTGCCTTTAGTCTGATCGGATCATGGGATTTTTTCCCGCTAATGACGTCACCTAATGATTTAGTCCCGTTTWTAGCCGTTACATTCAAGACCGCTGACCACGCTCCAAGTTACACAGTTAGTCACTGTTACTCTGATTCTGAAATTCTCTTTTTTTT